AGGCTGGGGGCACACTCATTTGTCCAAATGTACTGACTTAAACAAGATCAGAAATCTTATAGTGAATGTTAGTATAACGTGTGTCTGAAAAATTAAATGAATTAACTATTCTAAAGATTTATAACTAATAAAAGTAATTTCTGTAAAAAAAAAAAATGGTAGCATAAAGCATAACAACCATATAAACCATAATCCCCTGGGGTCCAAAGACACACTACCACTACAGTACTGTCTACACTGTCTCCTAACAAATCAGACTGGCCGTATCATGATACTAAACAGCAACACAACATATGCAATAACAAAGTAAAACATGTCCTCAGCCGGCAGAGATTTGCAGTCTTTGATATAGTTACACAACAACCAAAGAGTAAGAACCATAATCTCCACCACCCAAACAGAGATGAACATGAAACCCAGTCTCCTCAGTGGGAGTCCAAGTCAATGTTCTTACCCCATGCAGCGAGAGCCGCTAATACGCCTAATCTGGTCTACTACTGACTGGCTGTCTCAACAAACTCACACTTGTGTTTAAATATAATTTAGAGTAGTCTATTTTTGAAAGCAGAATAGCAGCATGGTGTCTTCCAGTCTAACAAATATAAATCATTGGACATATTTACTACTATATGCGAGTATGTGTATTAATTCAAATGGAACAAGCACAAATCTAGATTTTTATACTTTAGTGTAATAATTTGCAAACAGCAAAATGTCAGAAAAAACTGTTGTGACTTTGTTTGTATAAGGTACATTATGTTTGCACATGGATGCAACAAAGGTAGCTATGTGAAAAATCTAGTGGCGCTGCAGGAACATAATCTATTCAAAGTTTTTTCAAATTTCAGCTGGTGTTTGACGACAGATGCAGAACTCAGTTGCCATGAATAATTTTCTATGATGTTTACTCCTTTACCACAACAACCGTTTCAGCACAGCCTCTTGTACTCTACACTGCATTTCACTACTGTATGAGCATATAACAAATAAAACTTTTGAATCTCATTTATAATTGTATCCTTTAGTATTTTGAACACTATCAGTAGAATGTATAGTGCCAGTGTGAGACTTGGACAAAACTTATGCAGCCTCTGTTCTTCCATAGCATGAAAAAAATACTTGCAATTTTTAGGGCCACTTCAACAACACTCCATTTTGTGGTGCGCCTACAAAATGTGACTGAAATAGTTGCAGCTTTCAACTCAAAGTGGCTCCATTCACATTACTTGCGCCCCTTCATGCTGCACTCTCTTGCAATACAAAATTTATGTAGCGAGTACCAATTGATTTGTTTTTTAAATCCTTAATTGGTCCACATCCCGCTCCTATGTAACATCTCAGGACATGCAGAATGCAGTTTTTAATCGGATAGTGTACTTCAGATGCATGTAGAAACTGATGTCACTGAAATAGAGGCAAGACACACACACACACAACCTCCTCAGTTGAGAGAGCAACAGGTGTCATGATCTAGAAAAAAACATGCATAGGAAGTTGTACTAGGAACACTGAACTTAAATTCAGGAATATGCATTTGTGGAGTTAAAATTACAAACCGACTTCAAAGGAAATGTGTTCTAATTCCGGCCTCCCATTGATAGTTACAAGCCGTTGTGAGTAAATGTGTTTACTCATCCAGTGTGAGAGCTGAATGACCTGAATCTAGAGGAACAGACCAGTAGAAGAGGGGGTCCAATGGTGTGTGTATGTGTGTACGTACACCTAAAACAATAGCCTCATTGTCCCCCTATGCCCCTGTAGTGACCTAATGGGAGAGGATTGGCCATGTGCAGTACTGTGGAACTACTGGGACTGTAGCCCAACAATGCCATTCTGTCCAGATCCACACACAAAGTCCTGGCAAACAACTGAGGGTGTGTAATACAGCTCATGGCCTTCACAACCTGTATGGAGTGTAGGTAGAAGTTCTGAGGCCTCAAAGCTGAATGGCAACAAAAGTGAAAAGAGAGACAACAAAGGTTAGTCTGCAAAAGAGCAGTGGCCATTATCGGTTAGGGCTGAACAAATGGGATGATGACAAAACAAGTAACTCTGAGAACAAAAGGTCAACCATAGAAAGACCAGACTTGCTTGTTTCTCAAAAATACAAGGTTTATAATATGCAAGAGAACTTATCTGCAGTCCTGCACTAAGCTAAATGCCTTATGCGCTCAGCTTTAAACCACCACCTGATATCCCTCCTCTCACAAAGCCACTGTATGTTTCCCTCAATCATGGCCCATGTGATCTCCCTCTCTTTCCTTTTTCTCTTTTCCCACTCACTCATCCGTACACTACAGGCAATGTAATGAGCAGCAGTTCCCATTGAAATGAGGCTAGATCTCTGCTTCGCAGCCTGACTCAGGGTGTTCCAGTTTTCTGCAGGCTACTCCCACTCTCTCCATAACATGCAGCTGTGTTCGCTCCTCCTCCACATTCTTCAAAACACTGCATGCGTATAAATGGGTCTGCGTCACAACCCTAAACACTACCCCCCCCAGTTACATGCTGAACCCTGGTATCACTTGATGTACTCTGAGATTGATCTTATATTTCCTATCACTGTTTGACCTCTGAGGGCAAAGTTCACTGCATCGGTCATTCCTCACATCAAATGCAGCATATGTGCTGGGAGTGAAGATCACAGGGATGATGACACTGCACTGACTCTGCTTAGATGGTATAAATAAAGCTGCAATTCATGCCAAGTTTAAACATCAGCAACCATAGTTTTTTCTATTTCAGTGTTCAACAGTAAACTTTCAGGAATAAATTGGACCGTTGCTGCGATGTTATCAGGTGAGGTCCTACATCATTACAGGCTAGATAATAAGATGCACCTATTGATCAGTCCCAAGCCATTTCACAGACTACGATCGAGGATTAGATCAGTTTCATGGAACAGGACCCTGAACAAAATACTACTGTAATTTCATGTGTCACTTCTGTATTGAGGTGATTAAGCAGTTCAGTCATTAAGCACACATAAATGTGTAATTGCAAGGTTGGGATCAAGCCTACGACTAATTTATGCATGGATAATGTGTCAATGTGAAAGCAATCTTTTCACATGGCATGTTATTACAAAGTCTGGATAAAACTCAACATTTTAGAGGATTTAAAATTTTCTTAATGTGAATAACAAACAAAAACACTTTAATGTGTAAGCCTAATATTTCACAACTGAAACAATGCCTCATGGCATGCAAAATATATGCAACATTAGTAGGGCCCATTACAGGTATAGACATATTATCTAGGTTTCAAAATTAGTTGGTTGATGTGTGTTGACCTCTGTCACCAGATGGAAACATGTTTAGTGGTTTCTTACATGCCTATTTCATTCATATATTTCATTCTCCATATTGGAAATAACTTAAGCCAAGTATGTCTAGGCCCATGTGAGATCAAACCAGGACTGATTAAATTGATGTATTTTTAATTAATCTATGCAGGTTTGACTTTGTCATCGTCACAAAGGGTACAAAAGTGAACAAATGACTTGATCAGGCTGGGTAGATTTTAGACGACAGGCACTTAGCCAAGTTAAATGTCTCCAATGTCTACAATGAATACTTGGTACAGGACATGACACTGGCTGAACCTGACTTACCACTTGGCAGACTAACGAATATGCATAGTTGAGGCACCACAGTAATGCTGGCAACTTGGTCAAGGATCATTAACAGTGTGACATTTATTCAAAGAAACAGATGTTCCTCTCAGTAGGAGTAGGTATATCTGATCATTCATTCATTCATTCATTAACCTGTTCTCTGCTGAAAATGCTGTCTGTTTAAAAGAGATTTGGTCTTGTTTTTCAGCATCAAAGTGTGTCAAATCATGTCTGAATCAAGTCAGGAGGGTCTCTGTTGTATGACTTGTGGTAGCATGCAAACATTCCTTCACATCTATAAAGTCACTCAAATCCAATCAGTCTCTGAACAGCAGGAATCCCAGGAATGTTATGAGCAAACTGGACTTAAGTATAGCATAAAGGACTTCTATGGGACAGATCAGCACCAGTTTTGAAACATTAACTTAAAATGTATGAATAATGATGTATAATCATACAGATTTTTAAGTTGCAAGGACTTGTTCGTTCCAGCACATGTTCCACATGGTTCAGGTTTGTTCCATCCCATGCTAGTTCTGCAAACATAATGTCAGCTTACTACCAAAACAACTGCTTGTATTTGCTTTATCTACTTCAGTTGAGATGACAGGTTCCACTTTAAGTATTAGTTTATGGTATATCACTGATATCCCTCTATCCTGACTTGCATCAGCTGTGATCCGGTCTTTGTTGTGAGGGTCAACAGCTGATACAGGCTCCTGATTTGCAGCAATCTCAGCGTCACAAGGTAGACTGACACCTTACGTTTTGAACGGCTATTCCTGATATTCCTGTCCTGCAACTGTAACGTAACGTTACTGAAACCAAACAAATTGCGAAGCTGATTATAACGATCCCATCATAACATTAACAACAGTTTTTCATATATATATTGGACTACCATAACCACGCCCATGCTGTCTGGGATGCTAGTGCTGTATGTACCCGCTAGCCAAGTGGTGTATCCTGACAGGACAGGTTAGGTAACGTTATCCAAATGGCTGCACCACAATATCCCTGTCACACTAACAAAAGCCACATCTGGAGGCAGCTCCACGCCCTGATGTGTCTGCCCTGCCCGCGTATCGCCGGTAACAATGGTGACGCAAGCTTTGCGGCTAACCAGCCAGCTAACGCTAGCTAGCTCTTAAGTACAACAGTAAACAACAACAGGCCACATATTACGACTTCAAACCACCCTCCGTCAACTGTGCTACATCAACAGGTCTGCAAGTTGAGGTCGAAGCAAAAAAACAGGTCAGTCACAGCGACAACTCGCAGCAAATCCAGCGCATCTTATAAAACTGTTATCTGGTTACTACGGTCATAGCACTTCAACCGACACACACACCTTCAGCCGGCTCAAAATGACATAAAACCTTACCCGACGTGAGATTCTGACTCCTGGCGAACCCGGGATCACCCCCTGAGATCAAATCCGCCGTGTCATGGGTGTGTTTCTTAAAAAGAGAGGTGGGAAAGAGGATTAGGTATCTGGTGGTAACTCCGACGTCCCAGACTGAGGAAAGAGGGAATGCAGGAATGTGACGTTCAGTCCGGTTTGCTGGCAGCGTTGACACGTGCACTCAGGAGCGGAGCATTGTGGGAAACGTAGTTCAATATTGAAGTGATTCTTGCTTCTTTAGATAGGCCTACCTGATTAATAACTGGTTCTAAATGTCACACAACCCACTATTATCGTCTCCTTGCCTACAGGACAAACTGCTTTGATACAGGACCAGGTAATGAACTAAACTAAACACAAATGTTAGCAGTTTATCCACCTTTTGAATTAGCTAGCTACTTTAGCCACACATGCATCTTTGTGATGTAAATCCATTATGGTAGCCAGTGGTGGAAAAGTAACCGTAACAGTAACATAAGTACATCAATTCTGTCTGCAATAATTCAGTGCTTGAGTAGAAATTTAAGTACTTGTACTTTACTTGAGTAATTCTATTTTATGCTTCCACTTTCACTTCAGCGGCAAATATTGTCATTTTTACTCCATTACATTTATAACTGTGCACATTCACATTACTAATACAAAATATAATCAATAAACAAAGTATGATGTATTATCATAGATCAGATTACCTAGCAGTATATAAAGTAATTAAAATTTGCCCCACTTGTACTAGCCACAACATTAAAGACAAATCATTTATAATCCAAAAATAAAATATATATTATTCTGCAAAGAACCCTTAAATAATGAGTTTATTTTGATAATAATACTTTTATTCTTTTACTCAAGTAAAATTTTTGGCTTTTACTTGTAACACAGTATATTTCTATGCTGTGGTGTTGCTACTTTTACTCAAGTAAAAGATCTGAATACTTCCTCCACCACTGATGATTGCTCAAGTAGTCATAACAGATTTAATGGTGCTAATAATCCAAGTCCTCTTCTCTCCCTAAATCATAGGCCCACCTTGAAAACCAAACACAAATGGCTGCAGATCGCAGTTAAAACCTGCTGATAAAATCTTTACAATGTAATTATGACCCCTTGTGGAAAATGAGAAAAGTGCAGGAAGAGGAATCTTCCCCAGTGTGTGTGTGTCTGTCTGTAGATGAAGATGTGTGGATTTGTATATTATGAATATGCATACCGCAAGGATTTATCAGGGTTGTTAGTCAATATGGCAGACAGCTGGAACATAGTGCTCAAACAGACTGAGTGATAGACAGGCCTGCATATGAATATGAGACAGAGCTGTTGATAGTGTTTTTGGCACAGAAAACAGACAGACAGATGAACTAAAGTCTGGGTTTAAAGATGGGTTTGATAAATCTGAAAGTGCATGGACAGGTAGGCAGGCAGTTGAGTGGAAGGTTCCCTCCTCTGCTCCAGATGGGTGCAGAATTTATTTGCCACCGCAGTCAGAGGCTAATTAACCACCACGCCGTGATGGAGACTCCAGCAGGTCACTACACCCCCCCCACCCCCGATTCGTCTCCTTCCTTTTAGTCTCCCTTTCGTTCTCACTCCCTCACCCAGCTCTATGTCTATCCTTAGTCGTCCCATAATTACTTTGTTGTCCTCTTCACATCACCCACAGCACCACAAGCCATGCAGCCCTCCATTTCCCTCCCATACTGCATCGTCTCTGTGCAGATGCTCCCTTTATATAACCTCCTCTCACATGTACTCACCTTTTTTCTTTCGACATGTGTGCCTTGAAAAAGTAAAACCAAAGTCCTCTGGTAAAACCATTGATGTGCCATCCTGGCTGTTTGTGAACCGAATTGTGAGCTGAAGAAGAGGACAGAAAATGTAATGTCACTGCTTTTAGTGCATTGAATTCACAATCCTCTCGCTGTCTTGTAAATCTTGTATCATTTTTAAATCAAGGAGTCTATGAAACTGCAGATTTAAGGCTTGTCTGGAGCAAAGTTGTAAAAGTTGGTAAGATTCAAAGTCATTTGCACTGTTGCCAAGGAAACTATAATGTTGAATTGCTGTATAATTTCAATGTTCTAAAAATGTCAAGTCTTGTTGCATGGCACGCAATCCTTGAAAATGCTATTCTATTAAATTACTTTTTTAAATTCTTTATTCCCCCTGTATGTGTCTCAGTAATGTGTATTTAATAATATTAAACACACCCACAGAGGGGATAAATCATTACTACGGAAATGTAATTGTTTTAATGTGTTAAGTCAGAAATGTATAGGATGTGACCAAGCAAAGTCATTTTAATCTTAAAGTATAATAATCTTAGTCACAGTTCTTTCTAGGCAGTGCCAACAGTTCCTGAATGTATATGAATTTACATATAAACATACATCAAGTGTATTTTTTCACTTTTCTTTTTTTTTTCAAGTGAACTTTACTGTTAATATCTATTTTAATGCTGGTTTGATGTTCTGACAATAAACTCTGTGGAGCAATAGGAAGCGAAGCAAAGGCTGAAATTGGCGTTACTGCTCAGGTCGCCCTGCACAAAGCTGAATCCTCACCAGAGGGATGGTACCAAGGCACCAATTAGCAGTGGAGAGGGCGCATGATGATATTTCCGTGTGCTTGTGGCCTGGGCAACTCCGTCTGTGTGTGTTATAAAAGGCAAAACCATAAACATGGAATTAGACAGTACAGGCCCCACAGCTCTTAAGGTCACAGACTCTCCCCTCCTGCGGCTTGTGAGAGCAACGGTGTGGTATAAACAACACTGGCCAGCAAACTGTTATTACTGTACGTTCAGGTTTTCTAACAGGGCGCCTGATTATTTTGTGCTTGTCAGTATGTGAAGTTCATTAGGCCAGTGGCCCTGATGTGGCAGACTGCTGCAGCTCTGCTCTTTTATTGTTAGGTCGAATGGGTGCAGGAGATAGGTGTGGGAGAGAGATCACTGTGAACCAGATAGAGAGAAACTAAGTGGGTGGAAGTGACTGAACATATCTTTGTGTAAAACGCACACACAGGCGCGCACACACACACACACATACACACACACATTAACACTCAGACAAATAAACACACTGAGGTTGGCCACGGTTCAATTTGTTGAGTAACAAAAACATGAGATCTTTCTAACCAGCAGGTGGGGGCAGTTGACAGATCATAGGAGTGTTGTGTACTGAGCAGTGCTATTATAATGTGCTCTAAGTAATAGATCAACTACAACCCCTACATTGGAGGTAAGTATGTGCTTCTCTGAAATGTGTTTTTTGTTGAGACTTATTCAACTCTGTGGCAAAAATGATAAAGCAGCAACATAAATATCTGTTCCCCTTGAATACAGATGAGAGGAATCCGCACTCATACTCATCCTTGACGAACTATAGATCGTTTGAAGGCACAAAGCCTCATCATTCTGTCTGCAGATCACAGTGCCACAGTGGCTAGAGTCGATTGTTTTGGTGGACAAACAGAAGGACACACCAAACAGAACAATACATTAAGAAATAAGTGAAAGAAAAAAAATTATTTGCCATATTTGTTGATCCTGTAGGTTCAATAATTATGACTTTTTGTTAGAAACTACTACCTTTTAGAATAGATCACAATCATAAATGTGGCGCTTGATTCATCTGTCTGTTATTGTCTCGATTAACTGATTAATTATTTGGTCTATAAAAGGTCAGAAAAAGGTAACCAGTTGTCTGAGCAACAGTTCTAAACCCCAAACTATTTACTGTAATGTAAGACCAAGAAAAGCATCATCCTTTTAATATCTTTCATCAAATGTTTGGCATTTTTGCTTGGAAAAAAACCCCTTTTGTTACAGGTCTACACAAACAAGAAATATTGTTTTATTTTGGTATATCATTTCCAGATTTGTGAGCAGAGAATGGAGCACTTGAAAGATGAAGTGCAGAGGAGTGAACTCAACCCTTCCCTGGATCAAACATAAAAACAGGGATTATTATTATTCAAGCTGCACCATAGTTCGTTTCGAAAATCTCAAACAAGAAAAACAGATCAAACACCAGTATTGCTTAGTATTACTTTGTTCTTCAGTCTCCGTCTCCAGGTTCAGAGACTTAGGGGCCTCTCTGCTCCCTAAATCCCTCCCCCCATTCCCTCCTGTCCCTGGCAGCCCGACACTCCCCCTGCTGTTGAACTGCGGTAGAGCGTGGACCGTCCGAGGAGTGAGTTGACAGCTCCGGGCCGTGTGTGTGCCCGCCTGCATGTATGGTGAGCACCCGTTGAGTAGGTGGGTCTGCTGGAAGGGAGTGGGAGAGGTGGGAAAGGGGCAGATGGAACACAGAAGGAAGTTCACCAGCGACACATAGAGTGTCAGAAAGTAGAGAGGGACCGAGAGGGAGGGGTTCAGCGAGAGCCACAGGGACAGTGATAGGTAGAGGAGGCAAAAGTGAGAGAATGAGGGGACGGATATGCAGAGAGAAAGGGGTGGAAGGGTGGCGGGTGGGATAAGGATGAGGGAGAGCGAGGGTAGAGTAAAGGATGGAGAGGGGAGCAGGAGAGGTGAGACGTGTCAGGTAGCAGAGGGAGAGGTGACGAGCAGCAGGGGTAGGAGGAGGGAGGGTGACAGGTAGGGATGGAGGGTGGAGGAGTTGGGGTTTGGGGGGGGTGATAATGATATCAGGTGCAGGAGGGTAGCGAGATGGGTGGCTGGTGCAAGGACAGAAGGGAGGGAGGGAGGAAGAGACTTCTGACCTTCAACAATAGGTTGATAGTTGGATGTGAGCAAAAGAAGAAATTGAAATATTCTCTCACAAAAAGTTATTTGCACTTGTAATAATTCATCTGATTACACTGGAGGGGTTGTGTTGGCGGGGCACTTTAACAATTTGGAAGTGCCCAAAACTCCTTGGCAAAAGGTTTCAAAAATAGATCAAGCTTAATGTTTGGTTTTAAGTTTGAACCCAGCACTTTTTATTCCTGGTGTCAGTTCTGAGAACATACTGAATGATAATATAAGCTGAAAGGCTTTTTTTCTTTTAACAGCAACAACTATAGACTCTGGTTTAAGCTGCAGCTTCCAAACAGTGTATAGTGGAAAGAAAGGATTAAGTTGGTTGAAAAGCTGCAACCAAAAACAAAGGCATTTACAAA